GAATATGTGATAACACATATCAGAGCTCTGATAAGCCCGAAAAATTTGTCCTTAGATTCGGTCAGTTCTATCTTAAATGTTCTTCTAAAAATTCAGGAAGGGCGATTCTCAGAGAACGGCGGCTGCGGTTACGTGCTCAAACCACCTATCATGAACGAGGACCTGTTTGTAGTCGGAGAGAAACCGCCAACGACACCTCAGGTCAGTACATGAGAGCGTCATAGTTCCCTTCTATTGACTCACAAACTAGTACTACTCAAAAACCCCTGGAACTTCTCACCCGCCTCACGGCTCAAGTCGCACGGCCCCGTGAGCTACACAGTGTTGCAGCTGGCCAAAGCAGGTACTTGACATCATAGGCTACGGAGGTATAGGCTGGATCAATCGTATGTTGAGCAACAAAGAGGTCTTACTTGGTGAAAGGGGCACAGTGCAGCACTTGTTTATGCCTACTCCTGCTTAGACGGACTTTTCAGGAGATGAGACACACGTCTCAGGTAGAATGAGGCAGAACTATCCGTAAGAACACTTCGGGCTCGGAGCGAACGTCGCTAGAGATCTCCTCCATGAGATTGGGAAGGAGGGTAGGAGGAGATTAATGTCTAACCCTAAATTTTTCAGCATAACGACTGACTCTAGTTTACTTACCGCGGAATAGCTCTATTGCAAGGCAATATTACAAAAAAGCAGGGTGTGGGTTGGTTGCGAAGGATTCAGGGTTGGATCAAGGAAAGTTCAGCGGCAGATTCGCTGGGGCAGAGTAGGGTCGTGGAAGGGAAGAGGAATGCACGAATTTCATGTGGAAGCAATAGGAGTTCTTTTTGATTCGAAATTATCGGTTCAGCAAAAAAAAAGAACCTAAATTCCTGAAACTCTCATTCCCAAATATTTCCATGTGTTAACTGCCCTTTTCCAATACTAGGCGAATTTTTCACCCTCACAAAAGAATTTATTTTGTCAAGGAACTTGAAAATTGCTTCAGCCAGATTTTATTAATCAATCCGTTCAGATTCTTCATCTACGAGTGCTTTCTGGTCAACAGTTACCGCGGCCAAGAAATTCGAACGCCAAGGTAAATTTTAAAATTTTTGAACATTCGACTGTTTCGGAAAGTTGAACTTTTCACGAGGCTTATTCCATAGCACAGGTTTAGGGAAAGCTATTCACGAAAGCTTTCACAAATTCACAGTACATGGCGTCATGGACAATTAAAAAACATTATTAAAAAGAATGCACACAGAATACATGTACTTTCTCTATCCTTTGCACTTTCTTTTTTAAATTCGTCCTTCAAACTGCTTCCATCGAAAAAGTGTACAATAAGGCATCCAGGTTCAAAAAGCAGGGAACATTTTTCTCAAGGTCACTGGTAGTTTAGGGGCTGCTGAAAAACTTCTGGAAGTATAATAGCTCAAGGTTCACATTTTAAACCCTCCCTACGCACACCCTCTAAAGCGAGCTATTTTCTATCTATGGGTCGCCACATACATCATTTTGCACCATTTCTGCGCTAGAATATTACAACCTTGAAGATCTATCTCAGTGAAGACATACTAGGGTATGTCTGACCTTCTTCATGCACTCTACTTTATTTTTACTCTCCAATTAGACGCTGTCTTTATGAAAGCTCTTCTTTTGTGAATTGCAACTGAAACTTCTAGAGCTTTTTTGAGGCAGTAAATTTGTGAAACAAAAGAAACTAGATGAAGTTCCAGACAAGAACTTCGTTTACTGCTTTAGGAGAGACTCATGGATCGTTCGTAGTTCATCGGAGATATAATGGCGTATCCACCGGAGCGGACTAGTTGCCGAGCGACACGCGATACGAAAAACGAGTCAGAAAACGACGGCTAAAAGTGCTAAGGAGAATTTATATTACAAGACATTTTTAAGATCCAGCTTAGGATAAACAGTTTGCTAGCGCTTTAGCTTTTGGCCTGTCAGAACGCACTACTTACTACATTAAAAGGCAGCAAAGTTAGAAAGAATTCATGATGGTAATCTCCCTTCCCTTAAGGCGCGACGAATTGGACGCCCTAACTTTATTGCCAGAAATCGACTACCGCACTGAGCCCAGTCGCGCTCAGGCAGACGTGGACGGATAGTTAGGAAGTTTTCCTATGGAATAATCAACTCATGTGTTTTGGAAATGTGAATCGTATTTATATGGACCCTACTCGGCCTTCCTTCACATGCCTCTTGAATCTCTCAGCGATTCGAAACTGACTGCGTTCGGCGAATGAAAAGCGCCGAGGCTGCTGGAGATAAATCGCGATAAGGATTCTAAGAGTAGGACAAGGGCGTGTCTGCTGAATACACGAAGGTGTAAGGATCCATCGCGAACACTTGCCAGATATTTTATATCTGAAACATCTTTTATTCGGCGGCACCAAAATATTAATGTTTGATCGTGGCCTGCCCCGTTTGCAAGCAATCCTCGCTCGGCACTCACGCGAACTGGCTGATGGATCCACTTGGACCAGCTCCTCAAGCAGAAAAGAACTCGACAAGCACAAAGATAATCCCATCATTCTGCCAGGGTAGTACGCGCTGTCGTGTGGGTGTGCACAAGCTTGAGAAATGCAGAACCCCAGATAGTGGCCAAAGCTTAGGTATTGGTTGTTTCTGCGCGATAACTCCAGTGCGAAAGAATGGGCATCACTTCGAAAAATGAACCTCAAAAATATCAGCAATAATAAGAGGATCTGCGCCACAGACAATCCTCTCTTTAAGGATCGGCGCTTATTGGATTTCTTATATCCATTTAGCATCGGAAAGGCATTGGCGATATGAGTTATTTTGACCACATAACTATATTATAGGGCGTGACGGGCAAAGGATATAGGTGGGTTTATCCTCAAAGGAGATCTGATGACACGACCAAAAGCTAATGGGTTCGCAGCCTTCGAAATGCACTGAGTCAGCGTCAGTCATGAACGAGAGAGATGATATCCGACGCCCGAGTTTGAAGGCAATGGCAGCTTCGTGAGCCACCCATCAGACCGACTATTTTAACAAGCAAACTACCAACAACCAGAAACCCTCGGCCCAGCGCACACGCCTCCCACTTCACCCATATGTTTGCAGGCCTTAACCCGGTCCATATCGAACAGGAGTCGCGTTCAGGTTCGTCCGTCATTCGACGAGTCGTTCCAGTTCCAAGTATCCGTACCAGAATTGGCGCTAGTGCGATTTTTGGTGCTCGACGACGACTTTATTGGTGAGTTTCAGCAATTTAAAGGTAGCGAGTACGACATAATGGATCTTCGCCCGGGAGGTAGAATCTGTGGTAGCCGTAACCAGGCGATAAAGGAAGTATAATGCAGAATTTCAGCAGGAACGGTGCGCTAATCGTAACACAGTTAGGCTCTAAACCTGAGAATCTCACTGGCCCTCCAAAACCACCCCGACTTGCAGTTTGTGATATCATTATCATTAGCTTTCGATTTCCATTTAGAAAGTGCCTCACCTCTGCTGAAAAGGGCATAACTTGTGATCCAACCGCTTGTGACGTTTTGTTGCGCACACTATGCAGGAGACCAGCAGCTTAGCCGTAAGCTCGTCATGGGCATAGTCAATGGGCAGGGTCAGGATACCGTTATCGTTCTTCTTAATAGAGCCACGGAATATAGGCACTCACAAAACACGGAACGGATCAGACAAACGTTTGGAGCAAAAAATAAAAACATGAAATCAATTATGTAGTGATCTTCACTCTTTCATTATTTACGACTTTGATTGCACTACATTTCTCAGTAAATCCCCGGATTTAGAATTAGGAAAAAAGATTCTGAGCTAGTTTTGAAGTCATTATTGTCAATTTGTACGAAATAAACATAGTTTTATTTGAGGGAAAGCAGGATAGGTTAGAGCAATTTTCGAAAAGAACAATGGATCCTAAGAAGTTGCGCTTTGACGCTTTTTCACGTAAACTGAATAATAGCAGCTGTCGAAATGCCGATTTCTGCCGTCTGAATTTTCCAAGCTTCTATGTTATGAATCCGAGTAGAACTATAATTCTAAGGAAAACCACACGGTTTGCCAGAACGGGAAAAAGCGCTTTCAAATGGCATACGGAGTTTTCGGGTGCTACATGCATCGACAGAATGCTTTTATACGAAAAACGCTACGATATTATGTTCCAACCCAACACATAAATATCCATAAACAAGTGGATCTCTACAACAGTGATAACCAACCTTTCTATGGGTGTCAAAATTTTAATCGCTGGTTTTCAGGTGACGACTTCATTGGACAATACACGATCCCTTTCGAATGCCTGCAACCAGGTAAGGAAACCTGTTACCAGAAAAACATTACATCGGCCTCTGATCTCATTCTACGTACAGTAACTTGATACCTTTCTTCTTTTCTTCCCCTCTGTCAATCCCGTGCCGTGGCAAGATCCGCTACTTACATTGTCCTCATAATAGATATCCAAAAGTCGTCTAAACACCTTCAGAAATACCTTTCCCTTTTGCTCTTCATGTGGCATTCAAAAAAGTCCAAGAACGAGTTCTCTAACCACTGCATGAGCTATCGACGACGTTTTTGGTGGTCGACTCAGCCAGAGCTAGATGAAATAAAAAAGGCGACAAATCAGCTTGTGAGGGCGGAAAACGGACTATCTATGATCCAGTCTGCGAAAACGATAGCTCGATAGATACGATAGATCCGAAACGCGCCAGCGGTTTCAGGTGCATAATCGGAACAGACATAACGCGGGAATAACGCATAACATAACCCTGTTTGTTAGTATCCTCTCTATATGCAAAGCAGTAGTTCGTGTGTTTGTCCGTTTGTCTGTTTTTAACCACTAGGCTCGCTAACTAGGTAAACCCCCCAAAAAGCTTGGGGCATGATTCCAGATGGATGGGAAGCTATCTTTAGGCGTGTACGGTTGTGGGCAGGCCTTAATTAAGAGTGTACGGTAATGGGCGAGCTCGCTCTCGTGGCGGGGTTTGCGCCAAAATCTTTGCTGCAAGAGTAGAGTTTTGCGTAGAAGACTCGATTGGAGTCAGGTATCGCAGTATAGATTGGGTGCTGTGGTAAAGTGGAAATTCCCTCAAGTCACATGCTATCCTCTCTATCCTCTCTACCAGTCCCATCGCCCAGCTATTCCGGGCTCTGTACTTTGGCAGTCGAATGCCGGGCTGCGCTGCCGCCATTCCTCTCATCTGCACACGTCGCATAGCACCCAGCGATCTGAATCACTTCCCCCCCCCCCTACCAATTTTGTGTTCGTTCTATTTACAGCGCACTCAGCAGTGCAAAGTCTCACAAAAGTGGCATGCAGTGTTCACCTCTGTGACAACGTTATCTTGCCGTTAGTCCGCATCTATGGAATTGGATTTTGATTTCTGATGGGGAGTGATGGCAAGAAAACGTACTGAGAGAGGTGAACACTTACGTATTCAGATCATAGGGGAGTCCATCGCTCCAAGAACTGACGACACGGTAAAGAGAACGAACACAACTGGTGATGGGGAAGGGGAGGGGATGGGGGTTGATTGAAATCGATGGGCGCTAAATCGACGTGTGCAGATGGGAGGAATGCCTAGCGTCAGCCGGAGCATTCCGACTCAAAGAAGGAGCAGAGCCCGGCGCCGGGCGATGCGACTGGTTAAACTAAATCCAGTATCTTTCTTATTCTGCCTGTTAGCTTTGATGTGATAGCTGGAATCTCTGCCACTCTTTTCGAAGTTAGTGGCATCGAATGATAGCCGCTCTCCGATGGATGTGGTTCATGTGATGGGGTGGCTTATATGAAGGACGGGGTCCATGGGAAGGCTCCACTACCTTTCGCTCTTATTTTCAATTCCGTTCTTATTCGACGAGTCCATAAAAACACCAAATCGCTGTAAAATCACCTCGTTACGCCTTGCCCATAGCGGTAGTCGACAGAAAGAGCGGATTGATTAGTTTATAGTCAAGGTTGCCATCATAGCGTTTTCAGTTGCTTTCTTCCCCACTTTTCATCAACTGATTCCATTTGTATCTCTCGGAAAGAGGATGTTAATTGATAGTCTAGTTATGTGTTGTGTCCCAGTACGTATGAACGTCTCAGCTCCCAGACCCAGCGGACGAATGGTTTGGAGCGTCGAGGGATTAGTAAAGAAGAGCATGTGCCCAACTGCAATGCTCCAAGGTACCTCCTATGTCTGAGCACCCTCTTTGGCATGAGCTTCAGGCGAGCAGACGCAATATATCGTTGTGCAGCACAACGTCTTTAAAAGAATGCCGGATGCCGGGGTTCTTTGGAAGTCACACAAGTGGAAAAAATGAAATGTGATGTTCGAGCGCTCTGTTGAGGATCGAAGAGCACGAGACATGCCATATACCCCTGGACGTCAAAGATCGAGCGGTTGAAGCACGTAGAGCAAGTTCGAACCCGTCCGGCCAGACTTGTCCGTCAACGAATGGATCCCACGGGGCAGTTAATGACTACTGATGACCGTCGGCCGGCCGACTAGATCTTTTCTCAAAGAGAATAGAGTGAATTCGGATTCTCCTGGGAAGATTCTCCATGGGCTAGATCGACGGTAACGACAAGTAGTAACACTACCACCGCTAATGTGACCCAGTTGACAGCCGAAGTGACCGTGCTCCCAGTACTGAGCAGAATGTTAAACTGTAGAACCAAGGGAAATGAGAGAACAGAGAATTCACTGATACTGCCATGTCTCGCGGGAGCAGCTTTAAAGACACAAGGTGTAGTGGCCGTAAGAGTTGGAAACAATGCGGAACTCAAATTCGGAATCCATTCACGCCCTGACCAGCTAATCCCTCAGTCCCTTCGAAGTCCGCTGATTGATTGCAGATTTGGTGCCCACTTGTAGTATACCGCAACGATTTTGAACAGAGGTTTAAAATGTGGTGCATCCCGGAGGGAGCTTCATAAACGCCAAACTCTTCACCCTCCTTACGACAAAATGGTCACAATCGTGGTCTGACCCCGTGCTTAAATAAGTGGATGGGTTGAGGGTGATTAGCCGATGAGCCAGCGGTCATAGTCGTAGTCCTTCTGGTCGATCGTATCACATGCATGAAGAATGCAGATATGAATTGGTCGCTAAGTAACGCCGCGTAGCTTGCTTTCGTCGCGTTCGCGCATACGCGTGACAATCGATTCAAGGTGTTCGCTTGATGTGTGACTCAGAGGAACACAATACCGCAACGCGCGGCGTAAGCACCCATTTGGTATGCACCATTTGTGGTGCCTGACAAGGACATGTCATGTCTGTCTGAGGAAAATGTCAGAATTTGGGACCTTGACGACTGACACTAACGAATTTGGCAATTGCAGCGATTCAGCGATTCGAGAGCTCGGGAAAGTGGCCTAAGCCAACATGCGACGTGGGGTCCTTCTCTTTCGCGCGCCGACTTTCGCCAATAGTCACACTCTCAAATAGCTGGATCGTTGGAACGGCTGACACTGTCGGAATCGCAAGTGCCAAACACCAAAATCGCGAAGTGTGACACCTGCCCAACAAATAATTTTCGCACTCTGGAGAGCGAGTTATCTAAAAACGGCGATCACGTCGGAGAAAGAAGTTTAGTTCGCGCTAAGGAACTAAACAGCTATAGGTACAATTCCCTGCCCATCTAATTGGCATTAGATTGATATATTTGGAGGTTTCGCCCACTGGTGAAAAACTCAATTTCGCATTAAAGTCATTACTTCTCCATCTCAAATCAAAACTAATGGAAACATGAGCATAGCGCTCACTTGACCTCTCTCTGATGGACAAGGCGTTTTTAACATTCCTCACGAAACCAACTGACTGCTTGTCAAACCCCACGGCTTACGAGATTCAGCTGACATTGGTTCAGTCCCAAATGACAATAGGGCACGGCTGACTGCATGTTACTCAAAGTCAAACAAAATAACCATTTCTGCGGAAGAAGCCCTAACTCGAGAATTCGATAAAAACAGAAAGTTCATGAATTTTCATTGTTATGAAAAAAAAAGTCATTGCTATTTGGAGTGAAAAAAAAACAAATTACTTTTCAAAAAAAAAATGAAAAAAAAACAGGGATCATAACTGAGGGATTTATGGCCAGGCCCTAATAACGTACTTCAGTGGAAACTATTCGGAGAGTCAGGGAAAGAACTGCATCGCATTTTTCATTCCATTCCAGGTGATGCCCCGTCAGATGACAGTAGGAACGATCTCTGGATCACACATCCCCTGGCTGGTCAGAGTAATTACCCAGACCGCCATAGTCGTCTTAAACAGGGATCGCCGCACAACATAATCCTGTAATGGTCAACACCAACATGCTGATCCATTTGCCCTTTAATGTCTCATTACCACGAAAAACTGATCATACAAATTGTAAACAGAACACATCATATGAAAACTGAAAACATTCCGAAAATGAGGCCGATGACGCAGGATCAGCTAGGCGGTACCAGCCTTCTTCATTAAAAAAGGATCTCTAAATTTAAAGGTACATTCCACGTAAACAGGTGTAGGTCATTGCGTCTCAAATCGAACCAGCACTTGCAGTGACAGGTCACCATCAACGAAATAAATGAAAAAAAAAACTGCAGAATATCCTTTTAATCCCATAGCGCGCTTATTGTGAGCGAGTATTTTATAATGTCAGAGAAACGGCTAACCAATAAGAATACCGCTGGGATGGGCGCAAACCCCGCCCACACGATTGGCGCGCCAAGCGGTTTTGAGGTTTTTCATCAGTTTTTTTTCTTTATCTCATTACTGGTAGCCTTTTTTCTTGTTTTAGTTTCTGATATTACATTAATAGTAGACTTTACCACGAATGGTTCATTTGCGAGCGCAATGACCACTACATATGTATTCAATCGGGAAATGTGACTTGTCGCCGATCTTTTAACATCTCATTACTTTCACCATCCGAAATCTCTATCCAATTGTGAGAAATTTGGATGTGTTTGCGACTATGAGTGACAATCGGGTGCATGGCGTGTTCTGGACCGACTAAATGACCCATTCCTGATCATCGTGTACCGCCTTTCTCCCTCCCACTTCTCCATGTTTTCAACTTGTATGTGTATGTTGAAGGTACTCCATTCCTAATTGCCTGCTTGATAAAAGCTCTGTAAAGGTAAAGTTCATGAAACTCAAGATGCTTTCAATTTTCAGGATTTCGCCATGTTCCGCTTTTGAATAACGAAGGCGACCCGCTCCCGAACGCTACGCTTTTCGTGCACATCGCGGTCACCAACAAACGTGGAGGAGGGGTAAGTTTGGGCCACAACTCCTCCTTAGCAAACTATTAGGTACCGGATATCTTAGTGTCGCTTTTCTGAGTTCAGGAAGTTTTGGGGCCGATTACCATGGAAAATCAATATCTCAGAAAGTCTTTTTGCTCATTAATACTGCGAAATATGTTGCTTATTGTTTTCTATTGTTGGTTCAATTTAACTTTCCCCCAATCTCGCAATCTCGCACGGGGCTGCACCAGTCTTGTGCTGAAATGGTAGGACACCTTAGCAGTGACTGATCGATGGTGCACAAACGCTTTAACGAAGTTGATTGCACAAGAAATTCTAATAATGTGCTCATCTGCTACTCACGTGTGCTCAAAAAGGGTGCGTTTTTGACCCTATGTGGCAAAAAAGACTCCGGGAAAAATTGTCCAGTTGAGCTGGTAAGTTTAACTTTTCCACCATACAGTGCAGACCCTACTCTAACTAACTGTATACTTCTTTTGTCCAGGCCTAACTTTTTAGCAAGTGAGAGGGATGATTTGTCAGATGATGTCAAAACCGACCTACCTCTCTTTTTCGACTCAAAAAATTCCTAGCTTTAATCGTACGAGGTTTCCACTCATACTGGTAAATGGGAAAGTGCTAATGAGTCATTCGATGAATATGCTGTTTCACTCCCCGGATTCTGAATTAAAATATTGGTGGTCCGAAACTCGTGGTGAAAAAACGACACTAAGATATCCGGTACCTAAAACTTCATAATGATCCAAGCGGCTTCAAACGATTTTGAACAGCTGTGGATGGGAATTTCCAGCGCCACCTTTTTTGCGTTTTGCAAAATTCTCTGTCAATTTTCGACAGGTTATTCAAACCATCGCAATAGAACGGGCGTTGGTGGGGAACCTTGAGAAAAAAATTCTAAACCAATTCGGACACAGAAAAAGGCTATCATGTCGAAACTTTGGCCGCTGGAAAAAAGTTGAAAACTGCGAAGGTGCAATTATGCTGTGTCGTATGTATGGTAAGCCAAAGTTGATGATTCTGGATGGCATGGTACGGCTCTTTTGAGTAAGGGTGAGGTCGTACTGAACGAAATCATGCCACTTTTCCTTTTGAAAAGTGATATTGGACTCAAATGAGGTGTCGGTAACTTCGGGGAGATTTATAAAACTTTTTTTGAAATTTTTGTGGAAATTTTGAAAACTCGTCAGAAACTCGATGAGTCACTTGCATTTATACTTGCATTCATTGTATTTTTTTTGTTTTTCATGGTCAGTAAAGACTCACAGCTATGTGATTTTTGGGTGAAATCAGTCATAGGTGGGATGAAAGGATGTAAGTAAGACTTGGAGACGGAGGCGAGTCGTAGAAGTTTAGCTATGGGTTGTATGGTGGATTGTATCGCCCCTGAAGGGGAGATGACTCATGGTCAAAAAGAGCACAATTTCTTACTCTGTTGAAATGAAGCGTTCTGAGGATGTTTTTGGTTGTTATATGCTGCTTTTGCCTGCAGCTCCCCCTGCAGAAGTTTCACAAGATTTATGAACAAAATTTTCGCCTCAGGCGGGACTCGAGCCCAGAGGACCTGGGACGAAAGTGTTGTTCGCAACCCAGCATTTTTGGGTTCCAATATCGTTTCCTACCGAATCAGTCAGAAGTCACGACAGCAATGGGCAAAGCAAAGCTGGGGGCGTGGCCGCCGTTCTCTCCGGCGGGGGCGGAACTAATCGGATTAACGTCGATTTTTTCAGAAAGCCAAGAAACGGGGCATGTCAGTCAAGCGTAAGTCTAGTCGAGTGAACACCGGCATGAAGCTCGTCGGAATCAAGGTGAGTTGTTAGCCAACGGTTCCACCGATTTCGACTCTTCTTCAAGAAAGCCGAGTGACTGCCTTATCCAAGACGACCAAAGCAACACTACCCATTCCTCAAAGGGATCCTACCTCTTAGCTAACCCTTCACCATTTGGCTCCTTGGTGTCATCGAGATTCAACCGCGAGAGTGGCCGATTCGAAAATACGACCCCCAATTCTGGTGCGCCTTGAGCCATCAGAGGTGTTCAGCAGAAGGGGGAAGTTGTAGAAAATGTTCGAATTCGCAAAAAATCCATTTTCCTGCGTGTTTCTTCATTTCATGTCCTCCGAAAGTCTTCGAGAACACTACACCATTTTGCCAAATACAAATCCTTCTCAAACTTTCCCAAATTCGACCCACACCCTCCCCTCTCAACTTGCCTACATGGATGGGCTTGATCATGAACAACAACTTTCCCAAAAAAGGTAGAGACTAAACAATGAGAGGCTCCGGGTCGCCACGGCCATTCAAAACCAGGTGTATACTGCTACATATGCTTCACAGCCAAATCTGCTGAGCGATTCTTCGAACGCGATTCTAAAGCCAAAGACCGCAGCGGTAGTGGGGAAGGAATGAACTCGCGAAGATTCAACTCCAGAACCACTTGCCTGGAGTTTGGAGTCCGGCTACGCGATTTCCTTGAGATGCTTGGCCCACCCAGGCCCTCCCCCCTCCCTCTTCCTTAGCCTATTCTGCATAGGAAGTGAGAACCTTGCGCACTTTTTGCTATTTTTCGCTTTCCGAAGCCTTTACTTCGTAATCCCCTACTCGTTCAGCTTAGTAGTGATTCACAGCACAACGAGAAAGACCGAGGAGACTCCTAATTTTTGAAGAGATTCCAAAGTTCCCTAGAGCTTGACGTGATCCTTAAGTGAAGCATCTATACGCCTGAACTAGCATTGCCCTCGAATCGAATATTATAGTGAATAAAGGATGAATTGTTAGGCGCTGACATGTTCCTTCCGAAGGATGGGCCATGCATCCCACTCAGTAAAATGTTCAGAGAAAATTGGCGATGAAGTCGAGAATCGTTGTCCTTATCTCCACTTTGATCCATATTTTCAGACCGTCGATGACCAGTTCAAAACGGCCGTCGCCCCACTTTGCGAGTCAATCGCCATGCGTAATAAGCTCGAAGCAGCTCTGGTGGGTGGAACAGTAAAACTGCCATTAAAATCCTCTTTCATCTACCTCCTGCTACTTGGAAAAATTCAGATTGACTGGCAAGAAGAATGCGGCCTGGGCCCTGCTGGTACTATTCGACAAGGAATCCGTCTCATACATTCACGAATGATGACACTGGCTGTGAATTGTAAGTTATCTATGAGTTAGATGACTGCTTGAATGGAAATGGTTGTGAGTACGGATGAGAAATCGCTCGAGCAGCTAAGACATCTAAAGGGTGAGAATATGACCAAGCAAGGCTAGCATACGCGGGTAGCGTCCACGTTCGACTCTCAATAAATCTCAGCATTTTTTCTCAGCATAGATGTTAGATAATTCAGCCTGTGAATGGATTTGTTAGTAACAGTTTATTCGGCTGATGTTTCAGCAATGGCGCCTTTTTTGGAGCGTAGAAGGACAAAAGACCATCTTGGTCACCAGCTGAAATATCTAAGATCAGCGCTGGGTTTGAGCGGTCCAAATACCTGTGGGAAGTCACCTTTAGGTTACATTATAACGGATCGATTAGAGGGTAGAGCGAGAATATCTAAGAATATTGACACTAATAGGAAAGTGACAATTCCAGGAAGGCACCACTCGGCACAAAGAAAGTTTTTCTAGAGCAATAGCAATTTCAGCCATGAATATTGAAGCAATTCGCCCTGTCTGCCAATAGCACCTAACTTGTCATTTCGTGATATAAGGGGATCGCATGTCGGAGGTGGGCCAGAAACCAAGTTGATCTTGTCCCTTGTACAGTTTAACTGGCTGAACACGCAATAACATACCCTCCCCTTCAAAAAGCGAGAAAGTGTCGGGTGCAGACCATGCACCACAAGTGACGACGGCCTTCACAAAATGATGTTTTCTGCCAATGAAATGATTAGCCTGTTGCAGTTGTATTCTATCGATTGTCACTAATTACAACTATCATTTACCAGAAATCAGCTATCACTATGAACAACTTCTAACCAGATTTACTTGGAGGCCGTCGTCAGTTGTGGTGTTTGGTCTGCACCCGACACTTTCTCGCTTTTTGAAGGTTACCTCGAGCGTGGTAGGGCTCGCTCGCAGGCAGAGGCGATAAATCAATGCTATAAACTTGTATCTAGAACAAGTTCAAGCTTCTAAACATGATCTCTAGCAGGATGAAATTTTGACCCGATCTTCGAAAAGTGAGGTTGTATAGGGTCCAAATTCAATCGAAAAATAATAGCTGCATGGTAACGTAGCCAATATACATAATTAGGTACAGAATAAATACAGGGTGGGGCAAAATTACTGGTGCACCTATACGTTTTGAATTTTTTAACACTTCTTGGAGATTTTCCTGTTTCACTCGCTTGTGATATGTTGCCTGGAGGTTGCGTAATTCCTACGTACTCGAATACAAAATGGTCCGTCGTTCTGACCTACGGAGCGCGATCATCAAACTTCACAACGACGGCAAGCAAACAAGAGAAATTGTGAAGATCCTTTCCGTACCTCGAAGGACGGTTCAGAATACAGTACGACGCTATAAAGAACTGAAGACCGAAGAGGACAGGGAAGGAAGAGGACGTCCCACAACAGCTACGAGTCGGAGAAATGTGAGGCTCGTCAGAGAAAGAATTCGAAGGAACGCCAGGAGATCGATGCGCCAGATGGCGAAAGACGTTGGAGTAAGCGCGAGGTCAATGAGGAGGATTGTCAGAAGTAAGCTAAGGAAGTTCCCCTATCGCTTGCAGAAATGCCAACTCCTGACGGACATTATGAAGAAAAGGAGATTGGAGAGATGCAAGAAGTTGCTGCAGCGATTCACGGTGGCACGCGCCCGAGACATCGTTTTCAGTGATGAAAAGATTTTTACTCTGAATCCAGCCTTCAACTCCCAAAATGAGAGGATTATTGCAGGATCACTTGCTGATGCTACCACCAAGGCAAGACTCCAGGAAAGAGCGAAACACCCCCAGTCCATTCTTGTTTGGGGAGGAGTCACCTCTACGGGGAAGACCCCACTTGTTTTCGTTGAAGCTGGTGTAAAAATCAACGCAGAGGTTTACAAAAATATCCTGGAGGAAGTTCTCAAGCCGTGGGCCAACTCCCATTTCGGAGAAGCCTACTGGTGCTTCCAGCAGGATTCTGCTCCAGCACACAAAGCAAAGATGGTCCAGGAGTGGTGCGCCGAGCACCTGCCCGACTTCATCAGACACGACGAATGGCCCTCCAGTTCTCCTGATCTAAACCCGATGGATTACTCTGTGTGGTCCATCTTGGAGAGCAAAGCGTGTTCTACCAGACATCCAAACTTGGACTCTCTTAAGGCGGCGCTTTCAAAATCTTGGGACGAAATCGATGACCAGTACCTGCGTGCCACATGCGAAGCATTTGTCGAACGTCTGAAGGACTGTGTGAAGGCTAAAGGAGATCATTTTGAGAAGCATTAACATTTTTTGTATTGTCATGTTTGTAGTAAATAATATTGATAATTAGAATTGATTTGTGAGAATTATTGTCAAAATGCCATTGAAAATTTAGTGCACCAGTAATTTTGCCCCACCCTGTAAGTTCCGACTACCCCCGAGTGTACACGAAAAACAGATGTCTTAGCGACGAGGCGCGGTGAGCCAGAAAGCCTTCTATTCTCCTTGAAAAAAGTAGTGGCAGGGTGAGTAAACCCGAGCCCAATAGTAGGTGCTCCGAGAAGCACTTTCTCCATAATGTACTATCACTTTCAGCCACTCCTCCATCATCACCGTCAGCCGGTTCGGAGACCAGTCGCAGTCAAGACGTTGTGCCGTCGTTCATGATCGAAAGCGACGACAAAAACGTAGATTTCGATTATTTCGCTCCACTGATCGATTGCCAATGATGTTGAGCCGTTGTTTTCAGTTCCCTGTGATCATCGTGACTGGGCAGATCCCTGACCAACTACAGCGAACCTTCCAAAAGTTGAAGACGTTGATCTCGCACTGCGTCGCCACACTTGGTCACGCTGACACCCTTCTGACTAAGGTGAGCTCTTCAGGGAAAAACTGGGAGACGGCATAGCCACATGTGGAAAATCGTGATGACATCCGAAACGTCACAAATACAGTATGATGTGGACCGACCAACAAGATTCATTTAATCACTAGTTTTAATAATTTTCTGAGCGCCAAGGAAGTTTTGGACCTTCTAACAGCCTTAATCACAACCCATACAACTCCATTGACACAGTTAAAACGAAAAAAATGGCCTAGCTGAAGAAAAGGAGATTTGGGACAATTCCCACTTATTTTTACAACAATTCTGAATCAGCACGGCCATTAAGAAAACTAGAGATACCCACATCTGCCTATAACATTCGTAGAAATTACTCTGTCTATAAAATCGCTCTCAGAAGGCACGAAATCGTGACTGTAATTCGTAGTAATAGGCGCATGCATAGCGCACCTTGAGAAACGTTAACTAACATAGACTATTTTCTAGATTGAGGAGTCAATCAAACACATATCGGAGAGCCATGATGAACTTGCTCATCTGTGCCTGGAAAGTGGCCTCAAGGGCCAGAAGGCCACAAGAGCTGCCGAGAATTTCACATGGAATCTGAGGTGAGTCTATTTGGCTGTTAAAAACCCTGCCTCGTTCTGAGAAGTCCGATTACAGAATAAATACGAAACAATCATCCCATACTTCTGAGCAATTTTTTGCTACTTTACTTTATCTTGAGTGCTTGATTTTATCTGTCTACTTTTCAGGCTTCTCAAAGCCCAACTGAGTCTGGTCAGTAAGAGCCAGGATGAGGCTCAGGACATCATCACGCAGGTAATCATATTGAGTGCTTGATTTTATCGATCGATATTTAAAAGCAAACAGCAATTAATTGGAGAGAAAAAAGATCTAGGGGTGCGTTGCGCAGGCTGCATGCCTGAATAAATTACGTCGGGTTGGTCAGAAGAGCAAAAACAGTGTTGACGGGAGGAAAACTCTTTTTATTTGTAGCATGACCCCTCTACTTCCCCCTTTCGCTATGTTTCCCTGGTAATTATTAGCTGAGGTGTGGAGTGATGACAATGAAATATTTAGAACATACATGGATAAAGGATAAGGATAAAGGATAAAGCATTTGCCGTTGATCAATCCCTTTTTGGGATGCGGCACGCATTCTACTTCCATTTGTACATTCGTAGTGGCGTTTGAATGCGATGTGGCCTATACAATGACTTGCGGGGGCCAGCCGATGTACAAGTCAGTGTTTTTATCCTCCCAGACAAGTCTGGTACCAATTAACCGACCCCGGAGGGATGGAAGGCTTGGTTGGCCCGGGCGACATTTGATCCCCGGACCGCTCGCGTGGTAAGCGCGCCACTTGTCACTACACCACTTCCGCCTACCATACATTATCCTTACATACATGGATACGACTGATAAAAACACCAATAATAATTTTCGATCCTTTCTCAGCACTGATTAATCTCAAATGAATGCTCCATTTTTGGCGTAGTTGCTGCTGTCCCCTACCTTTCCCCTCACACCGATTTCCATTTACCGTAAACGGGTAGATTGGGTGTTACATCACATTCCGTTATGGTAGTTAGCAATCTTTTCTAGCACAAAAGTCAAATCGAAAGTAAAGAAAGAATGAAAACATTACTCAGGAATGAACAAAAAATGAAAAGGAATGTTCAAGGTAAACCTCACTTTTCCTCAACTTCCTAACCACTGGAGACCATCTTACCTTTCGTTTGTTTCAAAAAAGCACGCATATATCATAAGGTCAAGCCGCGCATCGCACAAGTGCATTGCCGCGCCCCGCGCGCGGCGACTTTGGAACGACGAGTAAGACGAGCGGTGATGAACATGCTTCTAACACAGTATGATCTCGCTCTCAAAACAAGTTTCATGAGTTCATACGGGATGCTTTGAGCAGGCCAGCTAACCACAAGTTTTATTCGTCCGCGCCCTTTTAGTGGAGTAAAATTCATAACCACCAATTTTTTCGACCAACATGAGCTCCTGATTACTAAATATCACCCCACACATTCTAACTTACACCCACGGCAAGTGGCCTGCCGAAACCCCAAGTTTTTCTAGGTCACAACTCGGCCTCTTACTGGTGAAGTCGCGGCTACCGTGACCCAGACACATCAAAGCCGGCCTCTGGATGTTTTGATCGTTCTTTTCCACTTGTACTCATTTATGTTGCTATTCAAAAAGAACAACAAGCACACCCACTTTCAGGTTTTCGACACCGGTGGCGTTTTGGGCATACTGTCGTCGAAAATGATGGGCCGTAGTGGTCGACGATTCTCACGTGTCATCCACGATCCCATAAGAGACTCGACTCTCTGAATTGATGGCGATCTCAAACTCGCTAGGTACTCAAGGAAAACAAAATGTTTTTAAGCACAAGCACATCTACAAAGATCTCTATTCGAATTTGGGAAGAATTCTTGGGAATTTAAGAAGAGAAATAGCAAATTTCTATACGGTGCAATCCACTTTCCTATCACGTCACTCCCGTGAACGACCCTTCGACACATAGGGATCGACCCCACGGACTTTTCTCACGAAACTCGCACTCAATCAAATGTTGCCCAAACCTCGAAACACGCCATGTGATCACTCACTAAAGACGGCGTACCATTTCGACCTTCACTTAACACAACATTTACCCGGTTCATCTCAACACACAGTTGTTAGGGAAAGTCGCGATCACACCATCATTGTTTGATTTTATCGATTTTATTCATGTAATTATCTATAGTATTTGTTGAATAAAGTTTTCTTTATTTTTACTGCCAAATATATACAGATCATACGAGATGAGGTCAGTCCGAATCAGATCCACTTCCGTAGGCGCAGAGGCCAAGCAGTCCATTAGTCGGTTTTACTTCCGCAGTGGAGGGCGTTGGAGGAGGAGCAGGAGGAGGTGGTTCAGGACACTCATCAGCTGGTTCCTCTTTTATTTCCAGCTGGAAAAGAGTATGATTAAATGCTATACCAAATCAAACAAGCAAAATAAATCCATTGCGGACCGTATCAACGATAAAACAGACGACAAAACCTACTAAGGTTAACAAATAACGGCGGCTCAAAATGGTTTAAATTTCAGCATAAATCTGAATTTCCTCGTGAAAGCTCCTGGTCCACATGTTACGTATCCCATTATTGAGAATCAGGTAAATTTATTCTGAGTAGAGTCTCTACTGTGATCAACAAGCCCAATGGCGAAGGAGGCACTTACAACTGTAAAATAGCAAAGCCAATCGACAATATGTGATCGCATCGATTTGAGGAGCTTCAGAAGCCCCTAGAAACAACACTCAAGCAGTTCAACATCAGTTAAGAAGATAAGAAAGCTTTAACCCTTTCGGACCTGAATTTTTCCCCGTGGAGAAATTTTTCTTCTAGCTATTGTTTATTACTTGTGAGCATATAGGTATCATTATGGCGAAATTTGGAAGCTATTCGATCACAAACAAAGAAACTAAGAAGCTTTGAAAATTGGCCCACCTTCTTAGTTTTTAAGCTTATGTCGAAACAATTCCAAATTTCATAGTTATGCCGAAAAAGTTTATAATCTTGCACAACATTATAACCCATAATTTTGATTAAGAATGGATCTACTTCAAGTATTTTAAGAAAAAGTGACACTTGCGGGGACCAGCGCCGATTCATTGTTGCACTTGTACACAAATACTTGTAATACTAACAGCAACACAATGAAATGGCAGGTTTAGCTCATAATTAGGAAGGGGAAGGTTGACTGAAGCAACCTCTAGCAGGATTAGAAAAACCATGCTGTTTCAGCGGCAATGCAAACATTTGAATTTGATGGTGGCAATTGCCACCGCCAGGCCGAAAGGGTTAAACTAGAACTTCCAAATAGGACGTAGTAAAATTAGAGGTGCGCCAAATATAATTAGAGTAATTGAACAAACCTTCTTTTTCTTCACGATCACCATCTTTGATAACAAGGACCTCTGATCGTTGGCACGTTTCGGTGGATCCTTCGCAAAATTTGGCTTTATATCGAAAGGCTTGATGTCTGCAGGTTCAGCCAATGTAGATATCTAGAAATTAACAAAATAACGGCATATTCCAAATCAAAGAAAAAATTTTCGGAGCAGAACAAAACATTCGTTCACAGTGTTTTCACAACATGCGTTGCAAACACCTTCCCTGCAGTTTGAATGTGGAGAAGATGATATCAGTCATGCAATCATATGATCAATATCTACCTAACACTAAATGCCAACGAATGCAAGCCATTCACAAAAAGAATAATAGCGCTCTGAACATGGAACGATGTCAATTTTCTTATTCTCCATTTAATTCATTTCCCAGTCCGGGATAAAAAAGCTTTTTGTTCGGAAAGCAAGCCTCTATCAGTATTGGGAATGTTTTCAAAGAAGTTTGACAATGCGTAAATGCAGCCGCGCATTTTCTGCAGTGCAGTGCAATATGGACACATGCGCCTGGCACATTAAAAAATAATTAGTGCCAAAAAAGATTGACAAGAGTTAAACGACCGATGAAGCCAACAGTTTTTGAGCTTTGCAAGAAGCCCGTCTAAAGATCTTCATTATTCGTTATCGTTAGTGAGACATAAAGATAAAAGCAACACAAGGGAAGCGTCGGAAGAAAAACTCCAACAAGAACTTTGTGATACGAAAGACAGAATCAGAATGCACATTAAACTCTAGAATCTTTTTAAAGGTTGAAACATTGAGTAATGAAGAATATAAACACGTATAGTAACGTACCAATCCACTTGTACCAGGCTTGTTTCAAGTCTTCGTCCTCCTCTTCCTTCCTTCACGTCGTCCTCTATCCGTTTCATAATCTTACCATCAGCAGTTTTACCATAAACCTTCCTTAAACAGTGCACGATTCAAGCTATGAACATAACACATTCATTAAATAACAAAATTTATTGAAAATACCTAATCAAAGCTTCGTCCTCCTCCTCCTGTAGCTTTATCTGTTCAGGTATCGAAAGTACTGGCTTTAGTGGCTTCTAGAAAATCTTCCACATCAACAGCCTCTTTGTTTCTGCTGATTTCTTGTAGATCTTCCAGGTTACCTAAAAAGTATAGTATTTATCACACAAAACTGTGATGAGGAAGTGAGTTATTAAAGAAGAAGATTAGTAATTATGACGCTTGAGTACGCACCCATGGCTTCCATCTCCGCGCGACTCAACATCGTTCGTTTTTCGAGCATTTTCATTGGGTCCTTCTTATCCTCTTCTTCCTGCGCTTCTCTGGCCTTTTCAGCATCTTGATAAAGCTTCATTGCCTCGAATAATCGAGTAGCACCATGTTCCTAAATATGAAAATGTAATAAAAGGCGGCCTGCCACAATAAAAAAAATGCTGTGCTAGGAGTGTAGTCAAGCAGTACAGTGCCTTACAGAACTTCAGCGTTCGCAAGAATATTGGATGGGTAAATAGGTTCGAAACATTTGAGTCTGAATTCACTCTCTTCACTTCTTTACTGGAAAAGGTCCTGTACTATTCGGAAGCACTTCTTCACCTCTACAATAGTGTACCTATATTTTCTTTGATATTCCAAATGCAATAGCATATTGCGCCATATAGGATGACGAAGCTATAGATAAATCGGTTAAAAGTTGAATCTGGTTGGAAGCGGTTCTAAAACCATAAAAAGAGTCCCTGATACGGGCGACACAATACACTAGGTAACAAATCATAGCTGAGTATGATTGAGGCTGGAAAAACGTCGTGGTTTTGCTCAGCTTGTTCGCAGGGCGAGATGGTCATAAGAACCTTAGAACAGCTAGATTGTATCACTTTAATCGAGGCTACGAGCTTAATTACCATCTCGATATTGATGCATTATTCCCTGACAATGTTCAAAATCGAGAAATTGTGCTAAAGGGGGGCATTTCCGAATCAAAACTTTTCACAGAAAGCACGAAATTCCGTTATTACCCTAGCTAAACACACACACACATAAACAACAAGGCTCAATCTCGTTGTGCTATAGATGTCCCAGTGCTCTTCATAGCCCCAGGAAATGTTTTAATTTTTCAGGACTTCACGAGATCGCCTCTGTAGCCATGTGACAGAGATAAGTGAAAAGAGGAAAACATGAAATGAGAAACACAAACAGCGGGATCGTGGACGGGCTCTAATTCCGATTCTAACGGGACTTAATAATAAGATAATTACACTGAAAAAGTCAATCTACGAAAAACATCAAAAAAAGTTTGAAGTTTGGAAGGGTGAGTGTAGTGACAAGTGGCACGCTTACCACAAAAAACATCACACTATACAATGAATGGTTATGAAAACTCACATTCTGATAATCACAGTTCTCCAAGTCTGTTTTGAACGTGATTTCCGCTAAGCAATTTGGACACCTGAACGAAACGAAGGAAATAAAAATGAGATAAAGATAATAGAAAACAGATGGAAAAAATGAAGCTTTGTAAGTAAAAAAAACTGACAAGCTTCCTAAGTATGAAAACTTACTTGAAATAAAACCGAAATAGCCTGAGGCCCAGGTAATCTTCACCCTCTACCGTCTCTCTTTTCATATTGAACTTCTTTCCTTTGTAAATGTATTCATGACATGTATTACATTGCATATTGAATGGAGTCATGACCCGTTGAACGAACTGTCTGGAAATAAACAGAATTTAAGATTCTAAAGAGGAAACGGAAAACCATTGTTAGATTAAACTCCGAAAAATAGAAGTGTTTCGGGCTTTTCAGAATAGCAGTGGGAAAGTAGCCTTACTCACCGCTTAAACATGATTAAAATTTGATCAAATTCTTGGAGATCTATCGGTCCTAATCTAGCAGACACACCAAGGATTGCAAGATTTAGACATCTTTTACTTACAGCTCGCCGCCTTATAATTTTTAGCACACTTACGAAGCCTAACGGAAGGAGAGAGATGGAAATAAAGCTAGGAGGAGCACCGCATGTTTTAAGCCTTCGTAGAAAATAAAAGTACTGACGAGTGAATGGAGACAGTGCTGACATTCTTCATCAGATTCCCTCGAACGACCATCAACTTCAGTGTTCTCATTTTGGTGACGCCATCAATACAAGTAAAAATACCGCCGAAACATTCTTACCTTGAGCAAGCACTAAACTCAGAAGCCCACTTATTGCGCTACAATTCCTTCAAAATCCTATAAAACGTTCTGTTGAAGTAGACAACTTGAACTACTCTGCAGGATCTATTTCCTTCGGTCATTTCGCGCTCAGCAGAGAGAGCAGCATTACTTCAGCTCCAACTTATTTTGTCAACCTTAGGTAAATGAGGAGCCCGCGATGTTGGTGCAAGGACGATCACCCGTCAGAGGGGAGGCGAAACAAATCATCTTTCTTTTCGACAGAGAATGTTCCTATTTTTTTTGCTTAAGTTAAGGGAATGAAAAGCATGCACTCATTTATTTGCTTCATCATTGTACGAAATCTTATTAACATTTGACACAGTGTCAAATACATGACAATAAAGAATTGACAACACATCAACACAACTTACCGAGCTCGGGTTCCTTTCGCTCTAGGCAATTTAGTTGGATCATAATCCGGAGGGTAGTATTTCTGAAAGAGAAAATCGAATGACATTATGAAGAAGAGAAGGAAAATGAAATCGAAGAAACTTTCAAAAACCATACCTGAAATACTTTACGTTCTGTCCCGGTCATGTTTCAAACACGGAGATTAGACGACAATCCAACTCTACAAGAAGGAAGATTTAACTGCTAGAGTGCCCAGCTACAAGATTACCGAAAAGAACTGCGTTATTGACATGATTCGCACTGGAGCGCCGCGGCAACTCGTACACATCGCGCATGCCGCGCGCGACTTCGCGAACGGCCACGGGTGGGAGGTTCGCAGCTGGTACCGGGTGTGCTATGTCGGGGATTCTATTCTAGCAAATGGCGACGAACGCCTTGACTGCAAGGGTCAAAGATTTGGAGAAGAAGGCCAAAAAACCAGGAAGATGCCGATTTTCGGTCAGAGCGATAGGGTTGAAACAAAGCACTCCTTCAGGGCCCTAATGTTTCGAATGAGGGCCAAGTGCATGGCGCACCCCAGAGAGGACGACACTTATTTTTAAATTGTTCTATAAATCATGTAGAAATGGTTCTCACAGGCACACTCTCTCCCTCGCTCCCCCGTCCATGTTGCCCCGTTTCCAACCTTTAAATTCTTTCCTGTCGCTTCATCTTTCGTTCCATTGCTTAACGATTCGCTGTCCACCAGGTGACAGGCGCCATACGCTCGTCGTTAACGATTCGTAAGGAATGTGTTGAAATGGCGTCAATAAATTTCTCAGCAGTATCCTTCCACCCGTTTAGATTTAGCATAAAAACGGGTTGCGTAGGAGTAATCCACCGTTGAAGGAACACATTGCTATGGTTCCTTCAACCCGCGATGACCACTGTCACCAGTTGTTCGCCAGCAAGGGATCCCAAAAACTCCTGAAACTTTGAGACCTGAGTGAATCGATACTCAGGAGTCCGAGACGCAAAGCTTGCTATCCGAAGCCTAGAATGCAAAGTTTTCTCTAGTATCTCGTGTAAACAGCGTAGGAGCTTGTCCAACGCCATTTCCTCTACTGAATTCAACATTTATGCCTTCTTATGTTTTTGCTTTTCAACATGGAGCTATACCTGTGGAACAAACAAAATACTGGCCGTGCATTACACCCAAGGTTAACTATTCAGAGAATAAATGAGGAAGCATTTGGCGATGATCAGTCCTTTCTGGGATGCGCCACGCGATCTACTTTCGTTCTGACTCGTGGAGTCGTTCTGCATACAGTTTGACCTTCACTATGACATGCAAGGCCAGCCATGTACAATTAAGAGTTTTTTGTCCCAAAATCCTTCCTTAAATGCCTATCCTCTCACTCCTACGCACAACTCCGTGAAGGGGAGACGGAGGTTATAGTCGAAAGTGAGAAAACAGCGACTATGAAAATTCTGCTTTCTCAAGAACGTTAAAGAATTTCCGTCAGAAGAACTCTATTATAATACCAGATTAGTCCCCCGTCAACCGCCGGGACCTTCCTTTCCTGCGCAAGCTTTCTATCCTCCGCTATGGTCCCTTCCTCCTGTGACACCAACACCTCTGGAAGTGACGCGTATGCAACACAATGGTGTTTCATACAGTAGAAGGGACACAATCATGATATGACGGTAGATTTTTCGCTTCCCTTCCTCATCCTCCCTTCCTCTCTCCACTGCCCTCCAGCTGCCACTGCAGCACCATGTGGAATGAACGGAAGTGTGCTAAGCAGGTGTTTATATAGCCCTAAGAGTGTTATCACAACTATCCTGCTACAAAACATTGATATCTCAAATCCTGTAAGCTACCCGATTTGTTAGCGGTTTGTTTATCCCATGAGCTTCCTTCTCACTCACTTCATTTTGCGGACGGACACACATACATACATACATACACATACACACGCACACACATACAGACATACAAACCGACACACAAAGTTAGCGCTTTATAAAATAGAAGGATAAGGAAAAGCTTTCAATATACTCGCCGAAAATACAGCACCGCTCGTCAGAAAAGTCGACATCAGCTTCCAAACATCTGCAAATTGATACCCATCCATACACCTGCTTGGATCACGAGTGATCTTTGGCTGCTTCCACAGCTGGGAATGGGATAGAAACTGAGTTAGTTTTTTTTTTTTTCGAATGCTTCATCTTCTCACACATTTTATACCTGTCTCACAATGACGCCATTTCCTGGAATAGGGGAGTCATGGATGTGAAATGGGATAGATTCAAAGAGATTTCCACTTATATCCAGCCAAATGGTACAGCTGACAGCCTCGTGACGAGGAGCTGAACTTTCATAGGTGAAGATGGTTGAGTTCAAATTGGCTTGATGTGTTGAGTAGGAATGACTGCTTTTTTCGCCTTAGGTTTTTAAGGGTTTGGCTGGAAAGTTCAACATGATCTGGCTGGTGCCAGCCACTGGGTTTTGTATAAGTCCAGTTGAGTTTTAACAGTTTCAAATAATGGTAGGGAATTTTCAAAACTATGTTTTTTTCTTTATATTTTTCATCAATTATTTCCTATTCCCTTCTGATCTATTTCAACATAATTTTTGTTATCCCGGCTTTATTGTGCGTAAATGCACCTTACTGAAGCCTTTTTATCACCATTCCTAATCCAGAAGAACCTCTGGTATGATGATAGACGATGCATTGTATGTTCATATAATGAACGAATCACTGCCCGCTTTTCCTACTTCTCTCTCTTTTTACATTTGCTTCTGTCTACCACCTTCTATTTCATTTTATTTCTTCCCTCCATCGCTCTGTTCCTTTTTTTCTAATTGCGCTGCCCGACAGAGTGAGATGACGAGTCATGATTTTTGAATGAAATGACTTCCGTGGTCTTTCTCCTTCCGCTTAACCGGTTCCAATTTATGACATCACCACAAAACGTCATCAAGGACTCCACATCAAATGTTCCGCGCTTTTTTGTCTCCCCCGTCGACCGATCACCTGCCTGCGGATTCGATCCACCGCATGTAGCAAACGTCAATCTGTGGGAGTCTCAACTCAAGCGATGTTCTCACTGTTCCTATCGCTGCGGTCTCCTACAGGCTCGAAAATTCTGAGTCGCCGAGCCGATTTAGGGTGAAATTCATTTGAACGGCTTGGATAGTGTCACGATACCTTTTCACTTCAGTTTTCTGGTGTGCCATTCATCAGGACGCTTGAAGGCACAATACACGACCACCTGAGAAGGGTATCCTTTTCGGTAGTAACGTTAGACTAGTTTGGAAGTTGCACAGGTTTTTTTTTATTTTGCATCTCAAGGCTCGTGGCAAGGACGACAGGATCATACTTCGCTCATAACTCCCGCCTACTGCCACACCGACGTCTGCGTCTCCTTAGCCTGTGTGCAATCTCGTCGCTCTGCCGTTTGAAGCTCTCATTCAAGCGGTCACTTTTCTAAGCTTTCCGTAGGCACCAACTGCCATATTTTCGGTGTCTCTGACTATTTTACGGAACATTACTGGCCAAATTCCGCTACAGTACCTTTGATACTCTTCGAATCGATGTCGTCTGCGTCTCTTCAGTATCGTTTCGCCTTTTCTCTGTTAGAATCTCTCATTGAGGCGCGCTCTTTTAAGCTCTTAGAGGCGTGCCATAGCTCAACTGATGTCAGTTATCACCAATCATTTTATTTCTCCAACATCCTGTTTCGGCTTCAAGGAACTGATAGAGTTGGAATGTGAATTTCGCTTTTTTCATCAGTTCCTTTATCAGCAACACGCCCTTATCCTTATTTTCTATCGCCCCTCAGAGCTGTCAACTGTCATTTACGATCGGTGGGCACATTTGGGTGAGGGTGGCAGAACGAAACGCCGATGCGCCACAGAGGAACGGACACGAGAAAGTGTTTAAGATCCATGGGGTTTTAGGGGTGCGCCATGCAGCCGTTTCACGTGTACCCTCCCTTTCAAAAAGCGAGAAAGTGTCGGGTGCAGACCATACACCACAAGTGACGACGGCCTCCAAGTAAATCTGGTTAGTAGTGGTTCATAGTGATAGCTGATTTTTGGTAAATGATAGTTGTAATTAGTGACAACTGATAGAATACAACTGCAACAGGCTAATCATTTCATTGGCAAAAAACATTTACATTTTGTGAGGCCGTCGTCACTTGTGGTGTATGGTCTGCACCCGACGCTTTCTCGCTTTTTGAAAGGTAGAGTACAAAAAATTTCCGGCCCGCAAGGTGGCTTGCGATGTCAAAATTGTTTTGTTTAACTCTTTGCCAGTGCTTTTCAATTCTGTAAGGATGGTACCGTAATCGTCCTTCATCTTCGGCCACCGTTCGCTCGGCTGGTTGACTCGTGTCTACAAAACTCACATATTTGTATTTGTATTTGTTTATTACACAGGTAATTCTGTGTGGGAATTGCAAACAAGAAAAAAAAACGTAACAAAACAAAATAAAACAAACATCCGTAGACGAACAAGTGACAAACATAAACAGTGTACATTGGAACACAGCGTATGAACGAGGAGCAAGGACTATGATGTAAGATGCTTGTCCAAAGC